TCTCCTTGACTTTGTCACTTTTATTTACTGCATCTTTTCTCATGTTAGACAAAGGCTCATTCAGGCAGGGAATGGAATGTCTCACACAGTTTTAACAGTACCTTGAACCATGAAACTCTAGTTCTAACTAAAACTCCTGGAAGCAATTGTAATATTGAACAATGGCTTTCAGAAATCAACATAGAAGAATACATAGCTGAAAGCAATGGACCATTATTTGCCTTCAGCTCTGAAAATATAGCACCCATTTTGCTCAAAGGATAATTTTATCTGTGGAGGCAGATTTCTGCTCCAAACAGCCAATCACAAATTAGCTGAGAGCTTTACAACAGGATGAGTCAGTGAAGCCAGCAGAAATTCTGCCATGTATCTGAATGGACATAGCCATAAATTCTGATTACAAAACCATTGAAACATGAATTAATCTTTCCAAATGAGTAGATATATTTATCCTCTTTGCACAGAAGCATGTTCATATCCAGATAAAAATACAGCCTCCTCACTTGTTTAATGAAGAAGACTTACAGCAGTATGATAATATGACAAGTAACTATCAGCTGAAATTCAAGAAAATTGTACAGAATAATCAAATCGCAGTAGGTAGCAATGATAAGACACTGGGATTTCTTGTTTGTTTGTTTCATTTTTATGTAAGAAGATTTTTATTCACTTTAATTTTAACTGCTTTCAGGTTGGAGAATTCTGGAACGCACCTGGTGATAACTGTACAGTTCACACATGTGAAAAATATGATGACCAGTTCATTCAAGTTGTCTTACAGAAAAGCTGTTCTCCCTTTAACCCCGATGACTGTGATCCAGTAAGTACTCTTCTCATGTTTGAAAATGTTGCAGTGGCCAACACCAGTGACAGAAGGATCATGGTGTCCAAGGAAAATACCTAGCAGAAGCATCACATAGGATGTAGCTCTCATTTTATCCTCTCTGAATTTGGTCCCCATCACATTTCATTTCAGAAAAGCAAATCAAAATTAAAATGGGTGATATATCAATCCTCATTGAGGACTGGGCACTAGAGAAAAAGGTATAGCATAATGTTCTGGATTCCTAAAAGTGTCAGATGACCTAGAGAGGCAAGAATCTTATTGAAAAATAATGGGATTTTTATTCCTAAATTATTTAAGATTATAAATGCCTTTTTAGAATTCACTTATTGAGAGCAAAAGTGAAGGAAAATAAGCGACTTCAGTTCACAACATCATTCTACTTAATACAGCTCAGGGTAGATTAGAATCAGCCCCACACATCTGGGGATTCAGTTATTTCATTAATTGTGTTACCCTGTCTGACATAATGCTTCACTTGTACTGCCTTTGATCACTCAAAATATCCCACATGTGCTGCAAGCTTATTTCTGAAATTTTACTACTGAACTCTGATGACGGCAAAGCAGTTCCAGTCCCCCTCAATGTCAGCTTTTAAGAACTCTTATTAATATTGAATTGAAGTAGTTATCTGCCCTCAATATTTAGCCTTGCTTGAAATTAGATTCCATGTCAATACAAAGAACTTTCTGGTACCAGAGCAACTTAGGCAGCAGGGAAAGTCTCTGTTTTAGTATGCAGATATGAAACCTGAGTTACCTGTTTTTTGTTTTCCCACTCAAGGACGACATCAAGCTATCTGACGATGGCTGCTGTAAAGAGTGCCCAGTAAAACTGAAGAGTAAGTAATGATAATATGTGACTTAGGAGGTATATTAGTCCATCTTGCATGGTAGATGCATAGACAGAAGAGGTGAACAGTATGGGACCACTGCCTCACACTGGGGTGAGAAAGGAAACGGGGACAAAGAAAGGAACAGAACAATTCCAGCATGCACTTTAGGGCCTTGGAAAACATGTGTATGTTGAACTTTCCCACCCCCTACTGCTAAATGTTAGCCTTTTGGTGGGAGGGAGAGGATTATGACTCTTCTCCAACTTCCACAGATAAATTCTCTTCAGGTAAGAAAGTGAAGCAAGTTGTAGGAGGTGGCTGTGCATTGAGCAATTGCCATAGTACTGCTCTTTATTTCTGTATCCTGCACCAAAGTTGCATAAGCAAAAGGGAATTTTTCATTCATTGATAACACAAGCAGCAAGAATTTGGCCCTTACCAATTAAAAGAGAAATGCACTGTGACCTAACTTCCTATTTCAGCTCCATCCATCTCAGTTTTCTACTACAAACTGTCTATCATACTTTGGTATCTATTTATATGTACATATACTTTAACCTATTTTTCCTTGGTTTGTTACAACCTCAGGTTGTATGAAACACAATACTACTGCTGTCATCAAATATCATGGATGTGTATCTCCTGCACCTGTTGAGATGACATACTGTGAAGGCAGCTGTGACGCTTACTCACGGTAAATGGTGTAAAAGATAATTATGGTCTGTCTCTTGTCTTCTACTCTTTACACTGCTTACATAAAGCAAATTGCAAGTGATTTTCCAGTATGTCCAACATCCACCCAGTCATCAGCTGTTTCCATTGTGCTAACTAGAATTTTTAACAGACTTGATGTTGTACTAGCTTAATTACCTCAAGACTCACAATGTTTTAACAGTTTGTTCAGTGTCATAGTGAATAGACCCGAGTTTTGATTTTGCCCATGTAAAAGTGAGGGTTATTTGTTTCTCACTATTCTCCTATTTTGGACTGGCTTAATATGTGATCTGGATTAATTCAATTACTTTTTCTGTGCCTTAATGAAGAGCTAGATCCATCCATTTTTACAATGAGGAGCAACTTATATTTCACTAAAATACTGTAAGAATGGTAATATTGAGCGATAGTCCCACATGCAAGCACACAACTTCTGGTTATATTTCGTAATGGGTGGGAGGGGCAATGGTATTTCTCACATAATTTCTGAATCTTTCTTTTTTGTTGGTTTTGCAATCAGATATTCTCTAGAGGCAAACACAATGGAACATAAATGCTCATGTTGTCAGGAAGTCAAGACCAGCCAGAGAAAGGTGACTCTGACATGCAGTGATGGAACCTACCTTGATCACTCATACACCTATGTGGAGAAATGCAGCTGTGTGAGCACTGAGTGCATTCCCCAAGCCAGCACCCAACAGACAATAAACCAGAAAAAGGCCTCTCAGGAACAAGTGAATGTCTGAAATTAGAACTAGAGAGTTCTAATTCAGACATAAGGGTTGAACATAAGACTAAAAAAACCTTTGAAATAATACAAAAGTGTCAAAAGCAGCTAAAATTGTGGATGAACAGATGATATTTTCTGCATACAAACTCAATATGTCTGTCTATGTTATCTCAGTTTTCACTACCAATAGATGTCCCATTGTTTTTCATGGTTTTGCTTTTACGTCCTGAGAGGTACACCATAAGGTCATTTTGACATTTTCTGTTAGTTTGTTTGTTTTCTGAGAAGTGCTGTACCATAAGACTGAGAGCTGGATTTACACTTGCACAAAGTCTATTATGAGAACAACATTCTTTTCTGGCTTGAAGCTTGCCTGTGGTGGCGTAATATAGACACTTGACAATATCTAATATTTCCATTGATGCACACTGACCTTTTTTATAACAACTTCATTCCAGTTTATTGAGACAAATGAAAAGCTAAAGTCCAGAAGACAAACAAATAAATAAAACCCAAGGAAAACTGTACCTCTCTGTTTCTTTATTTTTCTTTTTGCATTAAGGAAAACTTGGTCTGCAGAAAGCCATGCCTTCTCAAAACTATAAACTTCAATATTTTGAACAATTTACGATGGGCATATTTCCCTATATATTCTCATGAGAAAAAGAAAGAAATCCTGTCATGAGAAGCTGCTGCACACTACTCTTTGTTTACATAACATCATCAGCATAGTAACTGTATGAAAACATGGAATTTTTTTTGTTTGTGGTTAACTGTTTACAGAAGAAGTATATA